CTCTCTCACTCTCTCACTCTCTCACTCTCACTCACTCACTCATTCACTCTCCTCCTCCCTCCCTCTCTCTCCCTCTCTCTCTCTCGCTTTCTCGCTCTCCGGTCGTGTACCCTATCCCTCGCCTTTCGCGGTCTATTTTTCTTTTCTTGCCGTAAGGAAAGGAAGCGCGCAGATGGCCTCCACTCTCTCCGAGGCGGGGTCGCTGTGCGAGAAGGCCCGCTGCAAATAGTGTCAATTTGCCCTCTACATTTTTATAATCACATTCGTACAACAGCGTACCTATTTAACCATTTCTTGACCTACGTAGAAACTAATCCAATGATACAGCTTGTCCCACATGCCACATACACTGCTTTTGGTTCTACTGTCCTGCATGCAGATGTGCGTGTTTGGGGGGGGGGGACTCGTCTTGTGGCTCTAAGGGAGGTGGCAAGCCGCCCACACGCGGTACAGCATAACAACAAAAATATGAACATAAATGTACGGGACTTTGGGGCAAACCTGTACTGGATCATTGGATTGTGTCCCACAGCATCGGATAATATCCCCCCAGGATGACCCCTCGGCCACCGCTCCCACCGTGACCTGAGGCCGCTGCTGCCTCCTCTAGCGAGAAATGCGGCTACTCCCTTTTTCCTGCCGTGCAAAGTTGGCGGTATTGAAAAAGTTGGCCAAGGTGGATCTCCTTTCCCCGTCCTCCTGCTCGCCCATTTGGCGCGCCCTTCCCACCGACCCGAGCCTGACCCAAGCCTTCGATGTCCTCGCACTGCCCCCACGCGCCCAGGCCCAGGCAGGGTATATTGGTAAGTTCAAACCTCACCCTCTCCCACATGTTGGCCGCCTGTGCGGGATGGCAGGAACGATCTTCCCGGCCGCCGCGCCTTTTTACCATGCCATACTTCGCTAGTACTGCCATTCTTTTGATTATTGAAAAAGGCAGATAAACATTTCCAACAACAATGAGTCCATTTGGTCTCACATGAATCTCATCCTATTCTAAAATGTGATAATCCTATTGTGATAATCCCTGAAGAATATTTGTAATCGGAGTGACCGGTCAATTTTTCATCGAAACAATAAAAAATATGCTAACTTACATCGTACAGTACAGGAATTTTCGTACTCGCGTATAACGACTTCTTGTTCGTCGACATAAGAAAGAAAGCTGTTGCTGTCGTACTTGTTTTGTTTGGGAAAATTGTTTGCTCTCCTCTGCTTGAAACGGTAACTATACGGAGAATGTACCGTTGCAGTGTGTGTGTGTGTGACGCATGATGCGGGGCGTTATCGGCGCCGACGTATCGGTTGCCGGTGCTAATGGCAGAATGATTGTCGCGGCTGATAGCCGATGTTCTATTTCCGTAACGGTCAGTGCACGTGGCTCACCGAGTCAGTGGGGCAGTGGGTGCGTAGCGTTAGCGTAGCGTCAGCGAACACTGCACTAGCAGCCCTCTTCCAAGGGAAATGGTCTAGTGCCACAGCACTCTAGTTCTCGAGGTGTAACGGGATCTAGCAGTATCAAGGTCAAACAAAAACTTACAATTGTTTCGGGCGTCGTGGTATAATTGTTCCTTTCAAATGGCGTTATCGTATCGCAGTGTGCTTCATCGCGGGCAGTCGGTGGGCGGCGCCGGGGTGACGTAGGGCGAGTAGTAGCAGCTGCACAGGCGGTAGTGGTTGCAGTAGCCCGTGTTGAAGCCCGGCCTCGTCTGGCAGTGCTCGGCGCACTTCTTGTCGTCGCACTCCACGCCGCGCGTCTTCTGCTCGTCCGCCGACAGCTTCTCCAGCAGCGAGATCAACTTGCCCACCTCGTTTTCTGGGTGTACAACAGCAACAAAAGAGAGGTTTTAACCGAGGGGGAAATCACTTGTGAAATAGTTCGTACACCTTCCACCGAAATAGTTCAAAATAGAGCGAAATAGCTGGTGAAATAGTCGCGAAATACCCCCGAAATACTACGAAATACCGCTACATACCACAAAACAATCCGAAATAACCGTGAAATAACCGAAATGGCGGGAGAATATCACGAAATAGTCCGTACGCTACGAACCCAAGTAATTTCCACCTCGGTTTTAACACATTTCGACGGTGTTCGAAGCGTGTATATCACAGAGATGTGCTGCTGGTCTGTTCCCAATCCGACCCGCTCGCAAGCCCTCCCTTTAAAAGGATCTATGAAGGCCCCGCCGCGCTAAAGGGAGAGAGGAAGGAGGGGTACAGCAAGCTTTTCACTGTCCTTTTGATTTCGTCGGTTCGGTGGCGCGGCCGCCGCTCGCTAACCCAGAGGCCGGGCCGAGGCTCGAGCAGCAGACCTGGGGACACCCTGGCCGAGGGGTCCTTCACTCAGAAAAACATCAGTGTCCACCCTTAGAAAAAAAAGCACTTAAAAGTCATAAAAGATCATTTAAAAATTACAAAAAAATCATTAAAAAATCAGAAAAAATCAGAAAAAAATAACGAAAAGTCATAAAAAATCAGAAAAAATCAGAAAAATCAACAAAAAATCACAAAAAATCTAGAAAAACCGAAAAATCGGTGTACGCTAGAATTGATAGTGAATGGCCCCTCGACCCTGGCTGGGGCTCGGCCTGGTCCCCGGCTCTATGGCCGCCCCTCTTCGCGCCATGACGGCTCGCCCCTCGGGAGGATGAATGGACCGGGAGAGACTGACTGGGGCGACCGTCAGCCTGATCGACGACCGACTGCCAATTTCTCCCAATTACCCGACTTTTCCCTCGGCCGTCCCCGCTGTATACGGCCTCGTACCCGCCCGCCACGCCCGCGCCCTGTCGCCAGCCCGGAGAGGGTAACTGCTGTGCCGCCTTACCGGAGCCGTCGTGGGCGATGATACGCTTCTTCTGCAGCGCGCGCAGCTGACTCTTGACCTGCTCGATGTAGCGCTCCAGGGTGACGGGCTCCTGCTCCGTGGGCTCGGTGACGGCCTCCAGGACGGGGCCGGCGGCGACGGTGGCGGCGAGCACCGCGACGAGCAGGGCGACGACGAGGGGCGTGCGGTCCATGGCGGAGTGTTGGGCAGCGGCCACTGAGTGACGGTCGCGCAAACGGCGCTCATATATGTCCAAAGTAGGGGCGGTATTTTTTGCTGTTATCTGTTGACTGCGTCCGAGGTGTGGACCGACGCTGCTTAGGATGTGTCAGATAAGGAGCTGGCCGTGACTGCCGCCTCGGAGGCGGCCCCGGGGCTTTCTCCTCACTCTCGGCGGGCCTCTCCCGGGTGAGTCACCCGTCGCCTTGCCTGAGGTCGGGGACGGGCCGCGCCGGCCTCCTGGGAGAGGGCGCACTCGAGCTCTGCCCCACACAGCCAGAGAAGGGCATGCACGAGACGGTGGTGGAGGAGTGGCTGGCGGAGCTGGCGCAGCCCTACAGCAACCTTTGGCAACCTCTAGCACTCCGCCGCCCTTCCGTTAGTACCCCCCTTCTCCCCCACAAGAGAAGGCGGCCGAAAGAAAACATTTTTCCTCGCGCCTGCGCACGCCTTTCTACTTGTTTTGGCCTCAATTTTGTCGTCTTTTGTGTGGAGAGCAACGTCAGGATCAGCTCCCCCGCCGCGCCTAGCCGCGGCGCCCCTGCGGCAGAGTGCAACCGCGGGCACAATGCGGTCAGGGAGTGGTTGCAGCGCGCAGCGCGGCCTCGTCCATGCTCGCGCACTCCCCCCCCCCCTTCTCTCT